CCACACTTTGCCTGGGGAGGCTAGTGGGGACGCTGGGCTGGGGAAGCTAATGAGGAAGGTGGGTGAACGTGGGTGTGAGGTGCCTTAAGAGTGGGCTTGGCCCCGGAGAGCACCTAGGGGTGGATGTGTCTTGGAGGCTGACAGCCGGTGGTGGGGCATAGGCATGTGCGGGACATGGCTGGGGAGAACGGGGCTGCCAGGGAGACCTCCTTGGCCTGTGACCCTGAGCTTTGCTGTCATCCCCACCGTGGCGCAGGTGAGCGGAGACATGTCAGAAAGGAAAGGACCTGGCCCCGGATCTACAGGATGGCTGGACCCAGGATGTCCTCTAGTCAGGAGGCTGGAGGGAGGAGGCTGTGGGCCCCTATGTCCTGTCCAAACCCAGGTGGACACACAGAACACGTGATGAATTCCAGCCAGAGTGCATGGGCCTTTGCTGCTTGTGCTGTGAGTACTTCACGTGTTGCGTGTCCTGACCAGCTCTGTCCACAGCTGTGTCCACACATGACATCTGTCTTGTGTGCCTGATCACACTTGCTGGGCATTTCACATGGCTGTGCACATCCTGTCAGATATGGCCGAGTTAACTGAAGTTGTCACACATGTACCTGAGTGCATTTTGCACATGGCTCCAGAGACTGAACTGAAATTGTCCTGACATGTCACATGCCACATTTTTGCCAGTAGAATAAGTCCCAGACATTTTTCACCCTCTCCTGTCCTACTCTGGCTAATCCCCATCCAAGGGAGATTCAGTCCCTTTAAGAGATTAAACTGGCTAAACGGTTGGGGTGTCAGCCCCATCTGACGGGTGGCATGGGCCAAGCCTGCCTCCTATGCTGCACTCAGTAATCAGGAATCTGAGGTTTGGTGGCTTGGGCCCAACTCCCACAGGACTGGGGACAAATATGCCCTCACCCTAGTCCCTTTTGTAGCACTGCCCTGGGAGACCAAAGAAACCACATTTGCCAGACGGACTTAATCCAGGTGGGCTAAGGGCCCTGGAGACTTATCCCTTGAGGAATGGCTGTCAGAAATAAAGGCTCCTAAGATGACTCAAGCCCAAAGAGATGGGGTTTATACACATGTACCCATGTGCATGCACATGCACACACACATCCTGAGGCTGACAGCCACACTGCCTATAGACACTGAGCTCTGCTCACATGCTCAAGGAGACCCATTTACATGAGATCCTGGTCGGATATATGGAAACTACATACAATGTCTCTCATGGCCCTTGGCCCAGAAAGATGCACCCCACCCTCTGGGCCCCCATGGGCTGGGAGGTCCCACGGTGAATCAGGGAGCCGTCGCTGAGTGCCTGCCCACAGCCCCACTGCCAATATGTGACTCAGAATGGAACCCTAGACTCCTGATGCCAGAGCCCAGGCTGGGAAGGGGGGAATATTCCACTCTCTCTTCTCCCTGCCCCATGATGTACTTTTCAGCCCCTCAATGCCTCAGGTGGGCCTGCAAAGGCAGCATAGGGTGGCAACAGGCAAGGAGTTCCTCAACAATAAAAGAAAATGGAAATCCCCAGCCCAGAGAACCCCCTCTTGCGCCTGTCAGCCTGGCCTGGGATCCAGAACAGGGGAGAGAAAGTGGCGCAGCTCTGCCACCAGCAAGCACATGTAAGGCTCCTGTACATAGTTTGAGCTCAGCTCACATAGCTGTTCCCATGTGCTGCACCAGGGGGGAGCAGGTCACACACACAACAAAGGACTTTCGTATCTTGTCCACATTAAGCAGCATCTCTTAACACACATGCACCTACATGTACTCACACGTGTGCATGTGTGTACATGACTACCTATAATCTGGGGCTGCAGTTCACCACAGAGCATCTTTGCTACCTCCCCTAATGGATGCAGCTCCATGCCAAGGCACATGGTTTGGCAAGAGGGACGAACTGGCTCCATGGCTCCAAATCAGGGCTCAACCTTCAGTTCTGTGACCCCATACACTCCCACCAAACTCATTCCTGTCTGTACCTGGTTGTTACACACATGTTCATATACCTGCAGATATATGCACATCGGGATGTGTTAGGGTTGGAACTGAGAAGGTGTGGGTAGGGCTTCATGCTTCTTAATGGGCCTGAGAGGACCCTGCCTGGAGAAGGAGGAAGGATGCACTGCCTTGCAAGGATTCCTTATTCCTGTCAGATCTCCTTAGGTCATTTGGGAGTAAGAAGGGTCAGGGCCTGAGGATGCCTGTCCAGAAACGCCAGGCTGGCCTGAGTTTGGGGGAGCAGAAGCAAGACCTCATTGCAGGACTGGGCTCTGGGGCATCATTCTCATAGTAGTCATTGTGAATGGCGCCCCCTGGCCAAAAAGGCAGAAGGGAGCATGGCTTTACAGAGAAGAGCGTGAGTTTCGTGAGGCCCTGACTCTGAGATACACAGCTTACCTAGAGCCCTCTGGGCTCCCTCTTGTGCTTTGGGAAAGAAAGCCAAGGCCAAATGCAGGCTGGAACCCAGCCCACCTGGGAGCTCCCAGAGGAGGCTCCATCTCCTCCCAGGGCATCTTGAGCAAGGTCTGTGTCTCACCTGAGTGGGAGGGCTGAGCTCATGAAGGGGCCTTGACAGCCCATCCCCCCGTAGGAGGCTGTGACTCGCGGTCAGAGCTGGGGGAGTGGGTTCCCAGTCAAGGGAAGGGCTGAAGATGCAAGTCCCAGCCTGTTGAATCAGAGGGGTTGGCTGGGGACCTATAAGGGGTGGGGTGGAGCACGCCCTTCATTTCCTGCCCCCCAAACTCTTTTTGCCAGAATGGGAACAGTCTGAAACAGCAGAAGAGACATGGGCTTTGCTGTCAGTAAGTGGGGTGCAGAAGAGTGTAGACATAAAAATGAATAATGCTACAGTACTCTCAGCCTCCCTGAAGCCCCACACTCTTCCAGAGCATTGGAGTAGGATGGGGACTTAGACATTTTCAGTCTAGAATATACTTCCTCCTGTGTGCAAAACAATCCCCAAAAGTGGGTGTATTTTTCCCCTTTCACAAATGACAAAACTGAAGTCTGGAGAAAAGTCATTTGCTAAGGTCTCACTGAGCCACTGAGTGCTGAGCTGGGATTCAAACCCCATGGGGATAGGGAGGAGAGGTGAAAAAGGCAGAGAGGCCAGGGAGTCACATGCCTGGCGAGGGGCACAGGAGAGCAGGGAGCTGGGTCACGGGAACCCACGGAGTCTCTCCCTCCATACTTGAGCTCCCTTTCTGGAGTGTACCCCACTCTTAGCCCATTGC